GAGAATTTTTGGTTACGTTTTTAATGTATATTCACAACGAGTTTAAAACTTCATGTGAACCAGAAGTATAAAACCAAAGAGCAGAAACTCATGAGAGTGAGAGAGACGGTAATATCAACCTTTCTCTCTTACACTCACAATTTCTGTTTTCAGTTTACGTATTCTACTTACATAGGACTACGCCCTAAGGTCCTCTTACATTCAGCACATTGGTTACGGCGGGCGGCGGAGTCAGTAAACAGCGGAAACACGGATTAAACAAGCTTGTAATAACCGCGTGCACATGCTTATTATATTTTAAATAAATTTCTTAGCTTTTAAACATAAAAGTATAATAGTATAATAGTATCAGCTCATGAGATTAAAGTCAAATTCACTAGTACAAGGTTGTTTAAAGTATTAAGAAGCTGGTAATATGTTACTAGCTAGAGAGAAGTAGTAAAATTTCTTAGTTATTAACACGTAAGACTTACGTTTCTTACCGATACGTATTTACAAACATAAAGAGTGATTCAGAATATGGCGTTTGTATATATATATCTATACTTGTCTATCATTATAGTATATTATTAAGGTCAGCGTATTGCGTTGCGTTTTGTAACTAGACCATGAGTGTGAGAGAGATGGAGATATATGTTTGCTATATTTGCACTTATGTATATTTCTGTTTTTGTCTATCTTTATTGTGTATTAAGGTCAGTCTAAATATATATATATATATATATATATATCTATACTCGTAACGGTCGGACCACATTCACACTTTTGTTCGTGTACCTGATTCACCTATCTACGTGAAACATTTCTTAACTCGTTACAAAAACATGGATCCTCGTTGGAAGCATCCGTTTACTTCTATGATTTGTGGCCCAACAGGCTGTGGAAAAACATTTTTCGTTCGAAAGTTTTTGAAAAATAGAAGCATAATGTGTGATGTAATATTTGAACGAATTATTTTCTATTATTCTGAATAGCAAAATTGTTATGCAGAATATGGTAAAGAAATTGAATTCAAAGAAGGTCTACCACAATCTACTGATTATTCCGACGACACACGTTCGAAATTAATAATTATAGACGATCTTATGCGTGAATCCTCAAATAATACTGTTATAGACCTGTTTACTAAAGGTAGTCACCACAAAAATTTAAGTGTTATTTTTATTTCACAAAACCTTTTTTATCAAGGCCATGGACAAAGAGATATTTCGTTAAATGCTAATTACATAGTTGTTTTTAAAAATCCAAGAGATAGAGCTCAAATTCAACATCTAGCTAGACAAGAATGTCCAGAAAATTCTCGATTCGTTCAAGAAGCTTACCATGATGCAACCTCTCAACCTCATGGATATCTACTTTTCGATCTGAAACAAACAACACCTGACAACTGCCGATTCAGGACTTCCATATTTCCTTCTGACCCCTACCACTACGTTTACATACCGTCGAAGGGTATAAAATCTTGTAGAAGTAGTACATTTGTTCCAGTTATGCAGTTGTAATGAAGCCTAAAACACGTAAAATAATAGGCCACAAAAATGCCTTAACGTTAAAAGCCCTATGTTTGTTAGATGCTAAACAACGATCCGCTGTTCTAAAAAAAGCAGATATTAAACTTATTAAGTGTATTTGTGAATGTGCCTTAAATATTTTACAAGGGAACGTGCCTTTAAAAGATTGTGAGAAACTAAAATTAAAAAAACACAAGAATGCTTTGAGAAAGTTAACAAAGAGAAAAGGTTCTTGGAAAACTAAAAAACAGTTTATTCTTCAAAAAGGTAACGGTTTTCTACCGTTTCTCATTTCACCAATATTAGGAACATTGCTGTCAGACATTTTTTCCTCGACATTAGGAAAGTCAGAAAAATAATATGGAACACACAAAGAAAATGGTTCTTGTTTCTAATGATCGTTTAGAACAAATCGAAAACAGCAACAACAGCATTTACAACAACAAATTAAAAGTGAAAGTAATCATGTTGTACCATCTACTCAAACCCCTGGAAATTTGCTGAGTAGACTTGATTCAGAAATGAGTAAAATTCTCTACTCAACATATCCTAATAACGACGAACATGAAAAATAGAAAATGTATCAGCAAGTAAAAAGTTTTTATATTTTATCGATCAAAGAAGAGATCCTATTCCGCCATTAAGAACAACTAAAAACGACGATACAGCAGCTGTTTCTGACGAGGGTATAGATACTGTTGACGAAAAAATTTTACCCATAGAAGACATACTAAGCACTATTCCTAAAACATACAAAAATAAAGGTGCGGCGTTATTTTAAAAATTGTAAAAGTTAGTTGGTTACCTTTTTCTTTTGATTAGAATATAAAATGGAGAATTTGCATGAAATATATTACGATCCATTACACCCTGCTTCATACTCTGGTGCAAATAAAATTGTAAAATTAGTACACGGTAAAGCAAATAAACAAAATGTTGTAGATTGGCTAAAAGGACAAGATGCTTATAATTTACATAGACCTACAAGAAAACATTTTCCTAGAGCTTTCTATAATGTTGACACTATTAACAGTTTATGGGAGGCTGACTTGGTGGATTTACAAGCTTTAAAAAAACGAACAAAAATTATGCTTATCTTCTAGTTGTAATCGATGTACTAAGTAAGTTTGCCTGTGTTGAACCATTACATAATAAAACAGTGTCAGAAGTAAAAAATAGCTTTCAACGAATTCTCCTAAATAATAAAAATCGTATACCGTTATGTCTTCAAGCAGATAAGGGAAAAGAATTTGTCGGTGCTTCTTTTCAGAAATTTTTAATGGAGAAGAATATAAAATTTCGAGTTGCTAGAGATCCAACTGTAAAAGCAGCTTTTGTAGAACGTTTCAACAGAACCTTAAAAGAACGTATGTGGCGATATTTTAAACATAAAAATACACATTGTTATATAGATGTCTTACAAGATTTAGTTACTGCTTACAATAATGCACATCATTCAAGCATAAATATGTGTCCTTCAGATGTTACATTCTACACCTCGTCAATAGCACGTGAAAATATTCGAAAACGCTTCCCCATACAGAGATATGCTAAAAAAAGATGTAAATACAGCGTTAGCGATTTGGTACGTGTCAGTCGCGCTAGAGGAACCTTTGAGAAAGGTTATGAAGCTGGATGGACAGAAGAATTATTTGTTATAACGCGTGTTATAAATTGGAAAGAATATTCACCCACTGTTTATGAACTAGAGGATCTATCTGGAGAAAAAATTGATGGTGTTTTCTACGAACAAGAATTAGCTGATGTTAAAAATAAAGACTTAAACAATGACGAGTTTATTGTTGAAAAAATAATACATACCCGCGGAAGAGGTTTAAGAAAAGAAGCTTATGTAAAGTGGGCTGGTTATCCGGCTAAATTTAATTCTTGGATTCCGTTTTCTGACATAAAATCTTTAGAATGAACCACGACCAGTTTTATATTCTACTACCTAGTGATAGTAGTATGAAATATTTTTCTAATAACACCATTACAAATTTCACTACGCAGCTACCACAAGAAATACGTTTACAAGGAAAATGGGTTGTAGCCATCACTGAAATTCAATTGCCACGATCATTTCTTCCTGTACGTACTGAATCTCAACTAGAAAATAGAATTGTGCTTTTATCAATCCAAAAAGGTAAATTAGATAAACCAAAAGAAAAATATGAGTTTTTCAATTTATCCGATAATAAGGAATTTAATAGCTTATCAGTTTTAGAAAAAAACTCTCTACCATTAAAAATTCCAAAAAAGAGTTTTACATTTGATAAGTGCCACTCTATCAATAATAATGTCAACACTGGTTACGAAATACTTCATGGAGAATGGTTAAAACCTATAGTATGTTTTTTTCCTCCAGGTATTTACAAAGATATTCAAAGTCTTCTATATGCTATAAACAATACACCTTCTCTTAAGGAACACTTTCAATTTGAATATGATGATAACAATAATCGTTATGTACTACTAAAAAAAACCTGTACTGAAAAATGTGTCATACCTGGACGTCATTTTCTAGTAATCAGAAGAAAAATTTCAAAAATATTGGGTTTTGAACCTTTAGAACTCATACCTCTACATACACAGAGAGCCTGTCAACCTCTAAGCCTTTCATATAGAATACCTCAACAGTTATTCGTTTATTGTGACGTATGTGAACCAGGAATTACGGGTGATGTTAAAGCACCTTTATTACGAGTTGTACCTGTAGACACCAAAAACTATATTTTTGGGTCAACTCAAGTGACTCAATTTTCAACTCCTAATTACATACCTGTTTTAAACACAACATTCAGGACAATAGAAATCGATATAAGAGACAACTTGGGACTTTCTATACCATTTGAATCTGGTTCATTGATTGTGACACTTCATTTTAAAAAAATCAACTAAACAGGAACTCTGAAAAATGTCTATTTACGAAAATTATTACACTTCACAAGTCGGCAGAGGTGGTGTATCGCAAGTATATGTTGGATCACCTTATCAAAGAGGTTACGGAATTGGTAGTTTCCTTGGTGGATTATTTCGACGTGTTTTACCACTCTTAGCGCGTGGAACAAGAGCTGTTGGTAGAGAAGTATTTAATACGGGGCTCAATGTGATTGACGACGTTGAAAATAAAGTCCCTTTTAAAGAAGCAATGAAACAAAGATTTTAAGAATCTAGAGGAAATTTAAAACGACGAGCAATGAAAAAAGTAGAAAACATTATGAACGGATCTGGTTATAAATATATTGGATTATCACCACCTGCTCAGTTACTAGCAAACCGTAGCATACTACACATCGACGGTCCAAAACATTCAACAAAGAAAAAGATTTAAAAAAATCTGAATCATAAAAAGAAAATTCTTAAAAGCAAAAGAAGAAAGGGAAAAAAACCAGAAAAAATAAAAAGAAGCCAAAAAATTTAAAAAAATATAAAACAAAAAGAAGAACAAAAGTTGATATTTTTGGTAAAGTTTAAGAACTTTTAAATAAAATGTCTTTCTTACATTCTCATTCTTGTGAATGTTTAAAATCAGAATTGGATCTTTTTACTTTACCACCAACTCAAACAGCTATAGAAAGTTCACAATGGGTGCACTACAAACCTGTTGCATCCCTCACAGATGACTCACCGATAGAATTCGTCGTTCCTGGTCACGGAGATGAATATATCGATCTTCCTCATACTATGATCAGTCTCAAAGTTCGTTTAATTGTACCAGCAAGAACTGCAGAAAACGCCGACAACATAAGTAAAATAGGCCCAGTAAATAATTTATTACATTCTATGTTCAACCAGATTAATGTCTACTTTAACCAAAAACTTGTCTCACCACCAAATAACGCTTATGCATATAGAGCCTACATTGAAACTTTACTCAACTACAATAACGTAGCAAAAACCACTCATCTTACATCTTCGTTATGGTCTAACGACACTGCTGGTAAAATGGAAGAATTTGGTGATGAAAATAAAGGTTTAGTTGAACGTCGAAAATATCTAAGTGATTCTAGAAGAATTGACATGGTCGGACATTTACATTGTGATGTTTTTAATCAAGATAAATTTTTACTTAACGGTGTGGAATTACGATTACGACTTGTTCGCTTAAAAGATGCCTTTTGTTTAATAGACCCCACAGGAGTATCTTCCTTACACATCGAAGAAGCTTCTTTACTTGTACGTAGAGCAAAAATTAGTCCTGGGGTTTTAATTGGTCATGCCAAGGCTCTCTCTAGTGGTACCGCTAAATATCCTATAACTAGAGTAGAGGTAAAGGCCTTGTCACTTCACGCTGGTATTCACAGTGAAACTCTTGATAATGTTATACTTGGTCAACTACCTAAAAGAATTATTATAGGATTCGTCGATAATACAGCTTTTAACGGCTCTCGAAATAAAAACCCTTTCAACTTTAAACATTATCAAATCAACCACTTTTCACTCTACGTAGACGGAATGCAAATACCTTCTAAACCACTATTAACAGACTTTTCAAAAGATAAACTTTATGTTGAAGCTTACCAAACTTTATTTACTGGGACTGGTATTCACTTTCTTAACGAAGGAAATAATATTAATCGTTTCGACTACGCAAATGGATACTGTCTTTTTGCCTTTGATCTTACACCTGATCTCTCTGCTCATTGTTTCTCTCATTGGAATCTTATAAAACATGGAGCTTTAAGAATAGAACTACGTTTTGAAGAAATGCTACAAGAAACTATTAATTCTATTGTATATGCCGAATACGACAACGTTCTAGAAATTGATGCATCTAGACAGGTTATAACAGATTTTGGAGCTTAAGACATTTTGGAAATGTGAAGAGAAGGGGAATACAGTTATATCAGAACCTATATATAAGGAGGAACTCAGTATACTTTTTCTTTTTAAAGAACACACAACACTAGTCGGGTACAAAAGTGAAAAAAGTTTCTACAAAAATACAAATTCGTGATCGTTTTTAAAATGGTCGACTACGTTATAGACATACAAGGATTTCGTGATATAGAGGATAATTTTATGATCAAAGAAGTAGCTGTTATTGCATTGGATCGTAAATTTTTTGGACATTGGATTGTTGCACCACCACACTTATTTTCGGATCTACCATCCAGCATTAAACAACAAAATAATTGGCTTTCGTGTTTTTATCATGGTATTGAATGGTTCGATGGTGATGTACCTATGAAACATATTTATGCCAATTTACGTGAAGTAGCAAGAACATCCAGAAACATTTACGTAAAAGGCCGAGACAAGATTAAAGTTTTACAACAAATCATAAGTAAACAAGTTATTAATGTCGAAAATTTATCTTGTCCTTTCTTCAAGGAACTACCAGATAGTCGTGCCTACTGTTTTCACCACGGTGTAAAGAAAGAAGAATATTTTATTTGTGCTCTTAATAACGCTACTAAGTTTAAACGCTGGATTGAAAAATACAGAAAAGATAGAGCTATTTGTAACAACAGTTCTGAAAAATTAAAAATTATCAACGAAGTATCCTCAACACCACCTCTTCCTTATATTCCAGAGGTTGTAAAAAATAGTCAAGATACCTCATTTCAAATCTTACCAGTGTCGACTACAACTACCGCAACTCCTACTTACGCCAATTACAAGGATATTGATACATCAAAGAATGAACAGTCTACAAATACTACAGTGTCTACGTCTCATAAACAACCATTCCGTTGGAGTTTATCCTGCTGATAAAATACCTCATTTTTTGACAAGACCGTCTGCAATTGTTATTAATACCGATGACCACACTAAACCTGGTACCCACTGGGTCGCTATACACATTAGCAAGGACGGCCGAGGAACGTACTTCGACAGCTATGGTCTACCGCCTTTTGTTTCTCAACATCTGGATTGTTTACAAAGAAACTGCGCTTTTTTCAGATGGAACACAACACAATATCAAAGTACCTCTTCGACTGTTTGTGGCCAATTTTGTATTATGTTTCTTTATTATATGTCTTTTAACTATTCTCTTCTCGACTTTAACCTACTTTTTACAAATAATTTATTAAAAAATGATTATATAGCTTCTAATTTTCAAAAAACATTAAAAATTAAACATAATTGTAACCATACTTCTACATCACACACACATACACATAATTGTATTCACACATGTACAACATCATGTATTACACATAATTCATAAAATACACTTTATAATTTTATTCTCTTAATATGTAATATAGATTTAATTAGTAGTACAATAAACTTACCTTTTTGAAATTTACGTATTTTATTTCGTTACACTTTAATTTTCACCTCTACTTTTCCGACTCCATCTTTGACTCACTACTTTCTATTTTTTTAAGACACACCCACATCCAATCAGATCCATGAACCATAATTCAACCAATCACGGCTCTGAACTATTCCTCACAGGGCGTTTAATCCCTTCCCCTTAGCCACACTCTCTCGACCAATCAGATCCATGAACCATAATTCAACCAATCACAGCTCTGAACTATTCCTGCACATACGCCCATCCCCGCCCCTTAGCCACACCCTCTCGACCAACCAGATTCGTGAACTATAAATAAGCCACGCCCCTTAACCAATCAGATTCGTGAACTATAAATAAGCCACGCCCTCTAACCAATCAGATTCCTGAACCATTGCTGAGCCACTCTACTGCTCGACGAACTCGGAGAACTTCCGGATGAGTTTAAAGTCACTGTCACTGGCGATAGATTTTTAATATATGATTCGAAGAGCAATGATGATCTTGAGAATGGAAGGGTATTAGTTTTTGCCACGAGAAGAAATTTAGAGTTGTTGAGCAGAAGTCGCATGTGATATTTAGATGGCACCTTCAAAGTTTCTCCGTCTATATTCACCCAAGTTTTTCCTGTGCTTGGTACAGCCTCATCAAATCCGCAAGACCCAAAATTACCCTTTGTTTACTGTCTGCTATCATCAAAAGAAGCAGTGCAATATAATGCCGCTCTCAATGCAATAGACACAGCCGCTGTAGATTACGGAATACCCAAATTTTAACTGACAAAAGTTATGACCGACTTTGAACTTGCCATAATAAACGCGACGAAAGACACTTTTCCAGCAGTGCATGTAAGTGCTTGTTTGTATGTAGTAGGAACAACTGCTAGAGGACGCAGAAGGGCGGTACCACAACGATACCATCTCCTAATCTGGAACCAATACGTTGCAATATTAACCAACTAAAGCAAAACAAATAATGCAAGCGAGAGTTGGCATAATCGCTTCCGCCTACTAGTCGGGAAAAACCATTCAGATATATTTTCAGTCGTGAAGGAGTTCAAAAAAGAGCAAGGGGGTACAGAAATCCAACTAGTAGAACTATCGTTAGGCCGAAAAATCCGATCAGCATCGAAAAAAAATGGTTGGATGCCCAAAAAAGGAATCAATCGTGAAATCGTACGAAAGTTACGGTATAACGGGTTGGAAAGAATATCTGCATGCAGTTGGCTGCAATATTTATATTAGTTAAAAACTGAAAACTTTCAGTATTTAAATTTAAAGTTTAAACAATAAATTCACTTTTATTACAATCTACTTTTTTCAATTCGGGGAAATGCATTTGTTGTGTATTCGGGGAAATGTCCTTGTAGATTCGGGGAAATGGTTATCGGGAAAATGGTTATCGAGGAAATGTACATTCGGGGAATGTTGTTCGGGGAAATGGTCGGGTACCCTTGACTCGGAGTGATCGTTGCCCATAAGTTAAATTGAAAAATATTAAAATTTAACAAAATGGCAGCGATTTTTCTGAAAAACTTAGAATAAAATTTTCTCAAAAACCACAGGATTTCTTTTCCTCTCAATTTTTTTACTTGTTTCTGAATATAAAATGATCATTTTCCATAAAAAATTATTAGGGTTCCACGTAGGGGAGACTAGGTGCAGTTGTTACAATTTTGATAAAAACAGTTACTGTGCTTAGAGTTTAACTCCAATTTGTTTGGTCAAACGATTAAATCAAAGGTATATTATCTAGTATTAAAAGGCCATAATTTATTTAGCTCTATATCTATTATTTAATTAACTAGAATCATTTGAGTGACAGCGTGTAAATTGTAACAACTGCACAAAGTGAATGTCGGTTGTTACAATACCAAGAATCATCTGTAACATTTCTAAATTGAAGACAAATAATTTTTTATAACCATTGTTATAAATTATTTATAATTTTTGGCTCAACGTAATAGTACGTGACAGTTCCATAGAGATGGCAGCATTAATATTGTTTCGAAATGAAAGAAACTTAAAAAAGTTTTTTTTTTCATTAATTTTGAAGACGAATTTAGAAAAACCATGCGATTTTTCATAAAAAATGAGTGTGATTTCATTTTTGACAAATATTTTACATTTCAAACGAATCTGCTGAATTTTGGAAAAAATATCCGTTCTCATTAGCACTTGTAACAACTGCACAACTGGTACATTTTTTACAATAAAACACTTTATTAAGAAAGTATACACTAAATGTGGACAACCAAGGTAGTTTTTTAAAGCTTAATCCTCATAGAATTGATATGTAAAAAATTTACTTTGTTAGGTATAAAGGTCTATTAATTATTTAAAAAATATCAGGCAGAGAAATATTTACTTTTGGCTTTTAAAAACCAATGTGCCTATTTTTTACTTGTAAAGCTTGCAAATAATTTTTAACCATATTGCAGTAAGTTCGTGCATAAAAACTAAACATTTTTCTCTTTGGAACCCCATCTCTATAACTAACTGTTTCTGAGATATTCTATTTGTAACAACTGCACAGCGTAACAACTGCACCTAGTCTCCCCTATTGGAAAAGAATAAAACAAATTTTATTTTGAGAAAATGAAAATTTTAAGTGTTTTGAAACACACATAAAAAATTATTAAATTTGTTTGTATAGTTTTTAATCTCTTTTTTACTTTTCTACGAAACGCATTACAAAATAACGATTGCAATTTTTTCTTCCGCGTCCAATTAATAATATAGGATGAAGTTCTACAGTATCAAAACGATTTATTTATTATTTGAAATTTAAAACACTACAGTTCAAAGTTAACATAGTTTTTTCGTTAGTGTTTTATTTTTGGACTTCTTTGTTTTTTATAATGTTATTTTTTTTTTTTTTTTTTTTTTGTTCTGCCTGAACCTTCGTACAATACAGTCGTGTTTGTAAATAAGCTCCGCTCGTGTAGTGAGAAATTGAACTGTGTAAATTTTCTGAATACTTTGAAGTTGCTTGAAAAAAATATGTTAAAAGTGGTGCATTGAGTGATGTGCTTTTGGATCCTGTGTGTGTTGTGTTACCCGTAATTTAATTGGGAGTCCCCACATTTAACTCTTTTTTTACTCTTCTTTTATCGTCCTTTAATTAGCAGAAATGTCAGACTTTGAAGCGAATAATATGTTAAGGGACGATATTAATACTTTAACGGCCTGCATAAAGGAGTTGACGAGATCCAACGAGGAGCTTAAAAAAGAAGTTCAAGCCTCTTGCGCTAGATCCGAATTGATGGAAGAAAGCATCCTAACAATATCGAAGAAGACAGATACCTTGGCTGGAAGAATCGATGGCGTGGAACGTAGAGATAGATTAAACAATATCTTATTGTTTAACCTTGAAGATAATGAGGTAAACAACGTGGATCTGTGCTCAACGGTTACTGGTCTTTTCGTCAAGCTGGAAATCAAAATTCCGGATATAGCTATAGCGGATGTGTACAGACTAGGCAAAAACATTGGCAGTAGACCAGTCATTGTTAAATTTATAGCTCCAAGGTGGGTTAGGTTGGTGTTTGCAAAAATGG